CCCCCCCCCACACACACGTGTAGCCAGTTGGCTCCCCATCCTGCCTCTCCCTCGCCTCCTTTCCAGGCAAAGCTGAAGTTGGAGGCAGCTCCCCTGGCCTGTCCTCCCCATCAGCTCTGCTCTCCTAGAGCTATACACTCTGGCAGCAAATTTTCTCATTGCTGAAAAATCATACGATGAAGGCGAGGTGGTGATGGAGAAAACCTAGAGGATTTGATAAGGTGTTAAAGAGATGGAAGCAGAGGTGAGCCAAGGAGTTGGAGTGGGAGAAGGTATCAGGCGGGAGGAGAGAGGAAAGGTGCGAGGCCCGTAATTGAAAGTCAGAATGATTGCAGGGGTTTAACAAGACATGTCAAGAGGGCATTCATCACCCAAACAGATGCTGCTGTGAAATGCAGCCGGTACCGATTATTCCCGTGAAAGGGAACCAGCTCCTTGTCAAGGTGCCTCGTAGGTAGGAGAGAAATGGGCCAACACAAAAGGCCACCGACATTAGGGCTGGGGAGTTCTGCAGAGAATTAATAGGTTATTAATCCTAGAGGCTGGAGGCCACCCCGATTTCTTTGCAAGCCCTCTTTCTCAAGCCTGGCTCTCACTGCCTCTTCTCCCCCAACTCCCACCCCCATCCTTCAGATCTTCTCCTCCCCCAGAGGATGCTCAACCTCCAAGGTTGGGGGGGGCACCCCCGCCTTCTGGCTCCTGTCCTCAGGATCTCCGTGTTTGCAGCTGGCAAGAGCTCCCTGTGCCCTAGGGTCTGTGATCCCCACTCCCCATTTTACTGTCCCACTGCCTGCTATCTCTGAGGGCCTGATGACCAATAGCAGTTTGTCCTCTGTAAGAGTCAGCGTGGGTATTTAGAGCCGCTCCTACCATCTCTCAGCTCCACGTTTGGCCCAAGGGAAACTGTCTGCCTTGGGCAGCCAGGTCAGGCCATCCCTTTGGGCAAAGCCCCCTCCATCCTGCCCCAGGATTAGCTCAGTCCTGCTATCCACTAGCAGATTCAGGGACAGCATGAGCAGGTGACATTGGACACACCAGCATTCCTTTCCAGATTTCACGAGGCACGCTGTGGGTTTCTCTGTCATGATGCGATATTTCCTCTGCTGTCACCAACGTCCCCAGTTGCCTTCTGGTAAATTATTTATGTCTCTTTATTTATTCAGTAAGTATTTACTGAAAACTACTCAGTCACCACAGTCGCTGAGATAGGTGCTGTGTGCACACAGGCAAATAAGAAGACAATCTCTGACCTCGTGGAGCCCAAGTTCTAGTAGGAAAGCCGACCTAAGCCAGTAAACCCCAAAGGAATATAATTATGTGTGGGATCTGCCCAGTGAAGAAAAAGCATGGGGGCTGAATAACAGGCTGGGTGGGAGGGGCTGTTTTCATGGGAATGGTCAGAGAAGGCTTCCCCGAGGAGGTGACATTGTGGCTAATAACAGAAGAAAGACAAGGAGCCAGGGAACCAAGAGCCAGGAAAAAAGCAAGGAGGAGAGACCAGCTTGAGCAAAGGCCCAGAAGCTAGGAAGAGCTTGGTTCATTTGAGGAATGACAGGAACATGGGGTGGCCAGTGCTTATGAATGGGAGGGAGAATAGTACCAGATCAAGACCAGATGGGGTGGGCAGGGCCTTGTCCTCCCCAGGCAGCACTTTGAACTTGACCCAAGAGTACTGGGGAGCCACTGAGAGACTTAAGCAAAAGAGTTCTGGTCAACTTAATGTGTCCCAGAGACAGTGTTGGGGTGGCCGGGGAGAGCTTCAGTCCTCCAGTATTTTCACTAGCCTTGCCCCATGCCACCCCAAAACTGAGCAAAAATAATGTGCTTGCTGGGCAAATGATGCTTAAAGGCAAGTTTCTGGTTGTTTGCAGCTAGATGGCTTTCCCACATCCCACCCCTGTGGAAACNCCATGCCACCCCAAAACTGAGCAAAAATAATGTGCTTGCTGGGCAAATGATGCTTAAAGGCAAGTTTCTGGTTCTGTTTGCAGCTAGATGGCTTTCCCACATCCCACCCCTGTGGAAAAATTCTGAGACTACAGCTGTGTCTCCCCATCTGCTCCCAGGAGGGCAGGGACAGCAGAGGGTCGCCCTCCCTTTTTACTCTTCATGGAGGCCCTGCGAGGTGGGCGTCTCTGGAGCCTGCAGGGGTGCAGCCCTGAGGGCTCCCGCCTTTCCTCCCAGGTGTGGACGACCCCCACCAGCATGGACGAGGTGTTGCCCTGGCGGACTTCAACCGTGATGGCAAAGTGGACATCGTCTACGGCAACTGGAATGGCCCGCACCGCCTCTATCTGCAGATGAGCGCCCACGGGAAGGTCCGCTTTCGGGTAAGAAGGAGCCT